AATTTTAATTCTGCTGATAATATATGATAAATTGAAATTTAATAAGTGTTTTCAGACATTGTGAAATGTGATAGATTTAATATATGAATCATAAGTCAGGTAGGTTCCTAAAATTATGTCTCATTTTGACGTGACTACTGCCTGGCCGCTTAATCGGCCTCCGGTGTCTGGGGACTCATAACGTTGTGGCCGCTTAAGCGGCCTGCGGTGTTGAAAGGGTTAAACACCCGTAACTCGGAAACCAACCATCCGATTTCGACCAAAATTTGGATATGCATTTATGCCGCTAGTGCAAGTTGTTTGTACCAGTTGCAGTAACATAGCTTCAAAGAAAACGAAGGGATAAATAATATTCTATTTTCCTCGCCACAGTTGCTAATCTTGATTGGTTTTCTACTGAGGGCTATGAAAATTGTCAGTGTATATGTGTATGGTTTGCTGATCATTTTTTATTCTAACATACATGTTAAAGGTATCACCGCTTCGGGTTAGAGGTAGCCCTGAAAATCCTAAAGATCCACTCACTTTCGCCAACTTTGTGATGACTGAATGTGTCATAAGTTTCTCGAGATTTCACGACACGGCAGATTACTCCGCAAAGCATGCGACAGTCTGAAGGAAAGCGCTAGGATCGATATCTCCTATAAAGAGACTACCACTGCAAAGCGTGGTCTCACGCAGCAGATATGGGAGACGATGTTAATTTCAATTGATAATGACGAGAGCTGTCCAGCGTGAGCGGGTTAAAACACAAGCTGGACGATACTGAAGTAACAAATAATTTGTCTAAGTGTATCTTCAAAGACAACAGAGGGACAAGTGAAATTCTATTTTCCTCATTGTAGTTGCTATCTTCATTGGTCCTCTAGAGAGCACAATGAAAATTTGCAGTATGTATCTCTAAAGTTTGCTGATCATTTTCTGTTCTATGGTGCATGTCGTGGGTAAGATACATACATGTAGTTGTGAGTGTTAGCGGTGGTTGAGCTATGCTAGCTGAAGGAAGCACCCGTAAAATCTTTCAACTCTGCCCGCTCGCCGGCTTTACAAAGCCCACAGACTAATGCGCATTCGGTAACATTTGGGTTTTGTGCAGTTTGCATCGATCTTAAAACTCTATAGGTAACCTGTATCCAGGTGTAACGTGTATTCGCAGCTACGCGTATGTAAACCCGCCCCATTCATGAATTCAGTTACAACAGCCTGAGTGTAACGGTGTAATGGATACTGGTACAAACTACAGAAGTACATGTACGCTAATTGCTATGAAATCACAAGTTTGCTTGCATCAGCGTGAGAATGAGTGAATGAGTGACATTAGTTTTACGCTGCACTCAGCAATATTCGAGCTATATGGCGGCGGTCTGTAAATAATCGAGTCTGGACCAGACAGTCCAGTGATTATCAGCATGAACATTGATCTGCGCAATTGGGAACCTATCACATGTGTCAACCAAGCTCAACGTGAGAGAAACAGCATTCTGGATATTGGTACATGCTACACAAATACAGAGTACGGGCGGCGCTTTGTGTCACATTTCAACTTGGCTGTTGTTGATATTTAAATGATATTTACACTCACCCAAAAAATAAACACCACCATAATTTACCAGATTTTCAGTAAAAAGAAATAAATTATTAGCAATTGAACGTGCATTATTCTTTTTTATTAGAATTTCAAATCAAGCCAACAGCTGTTTCTAAAGCCATAAGTGCAATTACCCATACCATACAACACAATCCTTTGTTTGTAACCCTCAAACAGAAGAATTCAAAGTTTAGTACTGAAGTATTTCTCATTACTGACTGTGATATGATTCACATCAGCTATAGCCTTTACTGCTTTAGACATCTGCATGACAGGTACCAAATGGCTAAAAATTATCCAAGCCAAGGAGCCCTCAATGTTGCTCGCAACTTTAATTATCTTTTGATTTTGGACTAGGCAGGAGACCAGTTTAAAATCAAGTGGCACCAATTATGTCATAATCAAAGGGCGGTAATTCTGTCCTGTTTAGCTCGGCAAACAAAGACCTCATATTGGCATAACATTTCAGCACTTACTTTGAGGGTTATACTTACATTGTAAGAAAAGTTAGTGTATATTTTCAAACACTGGTATTAACTAATTAAAACAGTTCGCTTTGATTCACATAAAAATAAATGTGATTTATTTGTGTATACTTCCCCTTTAAGGTGGCCTCAGAGTTTATCAGCTTAGAGCCAATACATGAGAAGATGTGTACTTAAATAGATATGTTGTAAAACTGACTTGTTGCAGAGTAAGGAGTAAGTGTTTCTATCGTGTTTGAAAATTATTATGTGACCTTTACCATTTTTTGTGGTTTTGTTTATTCAGTAGTTGTAGAGTGATATCATTTTTTGGTGGGCATGCTTTACATGAACTAACAGTTGCTATCACTAGCCTGTTAGCTCCATAATTAGTCAGCATGGACACACGTATGCAATGAATCATTGTCACAAAGTTATATCAACAACATGTAACAAAGCTCCTGTTATTTCCTATAATTTAGACATTATCAACTGTAAGGTATCAATATCAAATTGGGAAGAAGACATAATCTTTTCAGAGATGATACAAAGGTAGTTTTCCTGTCTGTTAGCAACCGGCAAATACTTTTACTTAAACATAAATTTCACTGTAAGTCAGTCAACGAGGCATCACCTGGGTGATTCAAATTCTTACATATATAATCTTTAACCATGTCCACAGCATGTGTATAAGTCATATATTTTGGGACGCAACAATACAATTACTGGAATTGTAGGATTAGTAAGATACATCAAAGCAGTCAGTGGTGTCACGGAACAGATGGCATCTCTGCTTGTGTAATAATCTGATGACGGTTTGATTACAACAGTAATGAAGCAGGTATGATGAAATAGGAATAAGTTCAGACAAGAAAGGAAGTTTACAAATGAATGGAACTGATCATAATCCATTCTCTCTCATCTCTTTCCTGACACTGACCCCGATCTGACAAACGAAGTCTAACATATAACTAACACACTGATACACACTGATAAACAAAGTTGCTTGGTTACTGTCTTGCACATTAACATACTTACAAACCTGGGCCCACTTGCACAGAACGATCTTAGCGCTACAATTATTGTAAATCCTGAAGATCGCGATCTTTGGCTTCGGCTACAATCGCCATCCACTTGCAGAATGCAATTGTAGGCTAAGATCATTTTAAGTTACAATCAAAATGTACAATCGGTCTGGACCAATTGTAAGGAGCTAAGATCATTGTAGTCTGTGATAAAATGGCGTTCAAGTTAGTGTCTGTTTCACGCAAATAATCAGCTTTACCCTTGGAGATTGCAATTATATTGCATAAAACTGTGTGGTTCGCCTCGACACTTAAACAACACGGAGAATGCACAACCGATTTAACGTCGGATACATTGTTATTTTCTGTAGTGAACCACATAACCATTGAGTCGATATCACATAGTACTACTCCAATCCGATTCAATCTTGGAATAAGTGTGAAACAACATACCTTTTTGATAATCAAGGAAAGGATAACAGCGAACAGTGTCTGCGTGCAATTAACAATGGCCGAGACCTTTTCATTAACTCAAGAGCAGATAATTTCAGTTTATACGCAAGATGGGAGTGGCTTCCCTTGGCATATACTGTTGCCGTAGAGTCTGTCATGCCCAATCGCAGAGCTCAACATACTTATATTTCTTTTCGGTCATGGAGTGATTTTGTCTTAGTTTATCATTAAAGTAATCTACAATTAGATAAAAGTTAACATGCAAAATCAAGTTTCTTTCTCATCCATAAATCTAAATTTGATAATGCATTTTAAATATATACAAGTATTCATCAAATAGGGATATACACATGCTCAGGCATTACAAATGTATGTTTCAAAATAATTTCATTTTTAGAAAAATATTTATCAATGCAATAGGGTTATATCATTAATATACTGTAAATAAGTATTTAACAACTGCTCTCTCGAAATATTATTTAATATTCGTATTTCCATGTCATGCATTCTTTACAACACTTCTGTAGCCATTTTCCTATTTCCTACACACACACACACACACACACACACAAAAACACACATACAAAATATCCCCCGAACAGGTTTAAGAAATTCGTACCTCCACCGTTGAGTTCGATCTTAGCTAAGATCGCGATCTTAAATAAATGCCGTCTTACAATCGCTCTAAGATCGTCTTTGTGCAAGTGGATTTGCGTAATTGTATGGCGATTGTAAAACTGATTGTAGGGGCCTAAGATTGATTGTAACTAAGATTGTTCTGTGCAATTGGGCCCTGCACTTTAAAATTCTACGGACAAAAAACGGGAGAGGTTGTTCTTTACACAATATTGCCAGAGACATTCACTGTGTGTGCATTTCATGGTTTCTACTTCAGTTTACTGGGGGACTAAAGACACAATGACTGCAATAGGTTTAATCTAAATAAAAATGTAACTTGAATGAATATACATCTAAAAACCGAATGTCTCAATTCATTTCATTGTGACAATATGTTTCAGTTTTCAGTTGAAAACAAAAATCAGATGTCAAAATGGAACAATATTACGTATTCCAATCTTGAATGAATGCATTTAACGAAACAAACTCAAAGTGGAAATACATGAAACCATTTATTATATAGCATTCATATAAACAGTGGTATGAAACATCTCCATGTGTTTCCAGTATTGTGGGTCTTTTCACAGCCATCAGCAGTTACCACTGCCATATGCATGGATGTTGGAACAAATTGTAGAAAAAATCGTGTTATAGTGTTCCTTGGTTATTTGCAACTCCAATGACATAAGTTTTAATACAAAATGCAACATATAGGAGAATTGCAGCATCCAGATGAAATGACCCTACTTTCAAGATTTTAAAAACATTTTCAGTAAGTTCATAATAGCACATTTTTTAAAATAAGTCAATACAATCAAGCAGTACATTTCGCCAATAAAAATTAACACTTACCTCGTATTGAATACCAAATGCTGTCGCCATCTTTATCTTCAGCAGAAAGCATTTCTAAAAGTTCTCCAACAAGCTCATTTTCAGCTACTGACACAGAATAATGTGCCTTTAGAAAGGTTGGTGGGTTGGCAGAAATCATTTGTTTGGACACAACTTCAATGTTTAGTCTGATGATTGCTTTTCTGCGAGGGGTCCCGCTGTCAGTTACTCTTACCTTTTAAACCAAAACAAGAAAAGAGCTTATTATATTAGTGATACATGATGAATTCTATGAGTATATACTTTAAAATGAAAAACCAAATTTGCTCTTATGTGCAAGTTGACAAATGGGTCATTTTCGGAGAAGAGCTAAATTTGTTGTTGGAATGAGCAGTAAAGAACAAATTTGTATACTGTTAATCGGCATGGAGAATGGTAAATGTTTACCACTTAATGTTGTGCATAATTTTCTCACACGATAACAAGAAAAATGCAATGTGTTTTTCCTTTACACTCTTGCACTGCCAGTGTTCAGTAATCAATGCTTCCTATCATTATTGATTACTGGCATACTTTTCATGATTTGTTTTTTGTCTACAACTTTTGACAACATCAGTGAAACATCTAAATAAATATAGAAATGGAAACGATGGAATATTGAAATGTGCCCTGGCAAACTGAAATGACATAATTGTCGTGATGTTTTAAGTTAAACTGGATCATCAAAAGCAATGGGCACACTTATTTTCACAAAGAAACAAATAAAATGTATCTGTCTGTTGCCCTATAGCAACATTTCACAAAACTGCATTTCTATCCCTGGGGAGATAACATATACCCTGTCTGAAGTTTGATTAATTATTCCCTATTTTGGCTCTTGCTATTGGAAACCTTTACTTCAGGGAAGAAGAAATCCATATTTATTAATATCACAATTCATCAAAAGGCAAAGGCGAAGCTCCCCACAAGACTGGTCTGTTTTGTAGGTTTCAGCAATATTCAATGGTTTGGGAGTTATGCTCTGGAAATGAGCACTACAATAACTACCAGTAAAATCAAACTCTTTGCCTGGAAAACATGAACAAAATAAATTTAAAAATATCCCAAAACAAGTTTCAAGCTATTGGTTAAACAAACTTTCTAAGTTCAGATTTGTAAATTGCTGTAATTCCTTGGTATAATTTTATATCCAAACGATTTTATAGTAAATCATACAATTACCTGAAGCTCATACTTTTTCCCTTGAACAAGGTCCTTGGTGGAGTATACAATCCCAGTAACAGAATCCACTCTGAACTGAGTCTGTCCATTTCCTCGTTGGGACTTGATTGCATATGTAAGATAAGCATTCTGACCCTCATCGCTGTCCTTAGCTACCACACGATACACCTCAATGTCAGTGTCTCCTCTAACACATTCGAGAACCTTAATATATGGAGCTTTGTCTGCAAACTGTGGTCGATTATCATTCTCATCAAGAACCTTTATGACAACACGAGTCTTGGATGAGAGTGGAGAACGGGCATCATTGTCAGATATTGTAACCTGGGAAAAGCAAAGAACATGTCACTTCATGTTGAAATTTCAGCAATTGCTGTCTTAGTTTTCTGAAAGTGGATAGACAATACACTGAATTCTGAAAGCTTCAATATAAAACTATGTTGCAGTTAAATAAATTTAATCTACCATTTATGAAAGATGCATTCCATTCCCCACTTTTTCATGAATGCCAATCCACCTAAAAAATTACTGTCATGATTGGTTCTGACTCAACCAAATAAGAAGACCTCAGAAATATGCTGTCTTAGTCAAGGTATAAAAAAAACACCAAATTAAGAAAAGTAAATCTTTGATGGGTATTTAGAAGTGGAATGCATAAGAAAAGCAAGATGTACGGATGTAAATTTCTTTATTGTGAATAACACGAAATGTTGTGTTATTCATAATAAAGAAGTTGACATTCATAAATCTTGCATTTCTTACGAAAAGTAAGAAACAGAATATCCTATTGCAACATTCCAATGTTAGGAGCACTTACAATCTCTTGATCTGTCACAACATTCAATCTGAGATATTATTGAAGAATAAATACAGTTTGAATTACACAACTGGCTAGTCTTTCAGTATGAATGACTTTGGCCAGACAAGTTTGTAAGCAAGTGCTAATGTGTTTAGCATTTGAAAATGACTCCTTTTCTGAAGTGAATCAAAATATTTCATGGTATAACAAGTTTGGGTGACATTTATGCATTCATTACAAACAAAAAGACTGTTCTGTACAGGAGCAGCAATGCCCAAGAGCATTCCCAACTCATTGACTTGTAAAGGAGATATATCCTGAAACAGTATCTCCTTCTTGCTCAGAGCCACAATCCTGCAGGCCTATGACAAGATACGGGTTCTGGGTTCTTACGAGATACTGAAACTGTCTAGTCCACTTTGTAGAGTCTCGCCTGGAGATTTACCACTGTTTCTTTCGGGTGTTTTCAAGATGAGGATGGAGTTCAAATGTCAGCAAATCTCCGACCACAAGTAACGCCAGCCAGTTTGCACTACAGCCTGCCAACGTACCCCGTTACCAGGTCTGTCTAGAAGAGGAGTTGTTGAAAGTGTTCCCAGCTAATCTCAACTCTTGGCTTCACTTCGACGTCAGAGAACAAAAAGTTATAGATGGTTATTCAATGGCACTACTGTTGCAAGCATCCATTGCACAGAAGTAGCAGAGACTAGGCACCTCAGGTTATCCCAACCAGCAGGACCACTCTATTAGATGCCATGACACGGAACATCTTTTTGAGCGCTGGACTGAAGGTATGCATCACCACCTTCAGTTGGATCAAGCACAGAACATAATGCAGGATAAGTTACTAATATTCCATAATCATAGTATTATGTCTATTTTGCATACATATTTTGCATTACCTAAGGGCCCTCTCATGATAGATAACTTCCTCCCCACAGTACCATCCATCCTGGAAGTCTCAGAAGTCATGGGGAGGTCATGTTGGGCATAAGAGTACTGAAAACTCTAATAGATCATATATTTCCAGTTAGGACTTTCAAGGTAAGTCTTTCTGAGAGAGAACGGGAAGCTCAATAGGAGCCTTCGCATGGAAGGCCCTATCCATCTTAGGACGGTAAGAGTCTGGCAGTCTAATACTGACGTTGTCTTTATGAAAGACCGTCAGCTCAGAATTGATGGATATCACATGAATGTCGCCGACCAGTCTGCCAGACATTACCGCCACAAGAAATGTTGCCTTCCAACTCAATGGCTGGAGTGAAAGAGACAAAAGATTGTAAAAAAAAAGCAATGGACATCCAATCAAGAATGATTGACAAAGTAGGGCTGATCCACCTGTCCACGCCTGCTAGAAAACGCTGTAAGAGAGGGTGCTGTCCCGGAAGAGCATGTCGACAGGTATATGGAATGCTGAAATAGCAGTGGAGTAACCTTGGCCTGTTGAAGCGGTGAGACTGGCTTCCAACCGTGATTGAAGGAACACTAATACACACCGAATGCTGACACACCAGCACACACACCAGGCCCATCTATCTATTATTCCAATCCCTCTGTGAAGCCAGAATTATGTCTGCAACTGGTGCAGGAATTCCGCTCACTTGGAGCCAATTGAGGACAGAGGCAAAACCACCCACTGAATCCTGGGATTCGGGTAGGGTGCTCCATTCTGGGATAGAAGGCTGAGCCAGAAACCTGTGGATTTTTAGAAACAAGCACTGAGCAGACTGTTATATCTTCCATGCCTTGATGTACTTGCATAGTACCTACCCTGTAACATTATGCCCTCTCATATGTCGAGAGAGTGCATCTGCTCGCACCTTGTCCACCATGGGGAAATAAACAGCCATCACCCGAATGTCGTACTGATCGCACCAAAGCAGGAACTGTATCGCCTCTTGAAGGTGCGACAGAGATACCATGCCACATTGCAGGATATAGGTCATCGTCGTCTGGTTGTCCATCTCGAGACAGACCACCTGACTCAGAACCTGTTCCACAAAGCTTTCAAAGACCAACCTGACTGCTCTCAATGCCAGCACATTGATGCTCAGGCTGACCTCGTTCTCCAACCAAAGTCCCAAGCATGACAGGTCGCCCCGAACACCTCACCAAACCATAGGGATGCATCTGTTTGGATCGAGAGCGTCGGCGTCGAGGCCTCCAGGGGGAGCCTTTTGGAGAGATTCCGGACGTCTGTCCACCACTGAAGATGAGGAATCAACCAGTCAGGCGCCTTGAGAAATTCTCTGAGTAGGACCACAGCTGTGCCAAAGCTTGCTGTAAAGGTATCATCCTCAACCTCACACGCTGCACTACGTCCACTGTCACATGTTGGAAATCAAATCCTGCCTCTTCAGCGTGACGAGCAGACACTTTAACCATTAGGTTACAACACCGCCCCAGTCTGATTCGAGGCACCGGTTCACTGTAACTTTAACTTCTCTGTGTTGGCTAGCTGCCTTCTGTTGAAGGTGTAGCTGTCTCTCTTGGTGATTCATGAGGCAGTTGTCTCCAACAAAAAACTGATCTCCCTCAGGTTAAAGTAGGAGGTCATCAGTTTGTAAGGCGTGTGAACAACCAGTATAGATTCAGTATAGACTTGTAAATCTACATGCATAAATGGGGAGGTACTGCCTACCTTTTGACAAATCCTCTGTGCAAGATAAAAGCAATTAATCAATCAGCGTGTTATCGGTTAATCCTTTCATCCATGTTTGTTTTTGTAACTCAGCTGATAATTCCTCTTGCTACACTTCCATGCGCATGTTACATAAGATATAATACATTTGCCACACCAAACCTTTATTTAAAATGGTGAGTATTTACTCCAGACACGAGAAATGCCAAATGGGAACCTTTGTCAGGTAATCTGAGAGGTGTTACCACTAATTATACCTGTTATAAATTCTTTAACTGACTATCAAGTGAATGATGACAAATAACGTGTAGGTTTACCACCAAACAAGGGTTACAGGAAGAGAGTAGTAATCGCTGTATTGCATGCAAGTTTGATTGCCTGAAAAAAACTTATGGGCCGACACCTGTTTTTGAGGATACGAACGGAACTTCATTGTTGCATAAGAAATACATATAAGTATTTGCTGTGTACTTAGTTAAAAACTGTATATACCTATTTACCTAAGTAAATTTTCAGATTTTTCTAGCAATGGCAAAGTGGGGTTGTTCAGTTTACGGATTAGACTGTTGGCTGGAAACATTAATCGCTCTGGATCAGTGCCCCTCTAAAACCTGGATCCCAGTGGGAAGCTGCTAGATAACTGCCTATTTAGCAGACTTAGTGAAGCTAGCATGGGAAAAAACATGGTTCTTCTGGTTTTCCAACTGATTCAGCTACTAAGACAGTAGACTTTAACTGCTGTTTCTCATCAAAAGGGAGTTCACCAAAACATGCATCAATAACAGCAAAGGACAACCCCAGGGTGTCAAGCACTTTGAGCCGTCCAAAATATAGGAATACAAGACTCCTAAAGGTAGCTAAAGCTTCATTACATAGATGAAGCTTTAGTCGGATACCTTATTTTTACTGTTATTACCTATACAGAAAGCCTTATTTCTCAAATAATGCTTTAGTTGGGTCAAGCCATGAAAACGTTTATTTGATCTATGTCGTGTTGGTAGGAGGTAGCATTGTGTCATACGGTACGATCAATAATTCTTCTCTTACAAAACCCCTTCCTGGTCCATCCCTCAAGTAGTTCGTTTTATCTCTGTTGTATAGCTCCATGTGCCGCTATGACACTATGTCATGTTTACCTCGACGAAACAGTTTAATGTAAATCGTCTGTTATATTTTTGGTGTTCGTAATAAAGGCTTGCCGGGCTTTTTTCACCCCTTGTTCTATGTACTTTTTTTTCTCGGATTCACTGATAGCAGACTTACGACACTTGGATCGAATCTCTTGTTTCATTTCGTTATATTTTGTGAGTTCAGAGAGGATCAAACGAAACTCCTCCTCTGAGATTTTGTTGTCAGTGAGTGCCGCTGAAATACGGTCGCTTACTGTGTTCAGCTTTGCTTCGGCCAGAACCCTGATCTCATCATGCTTCAATACCTTACGTTGCAGTCTGCGAGAAACAAACTTAAATACTAATCCAGCCAACCCTGACACCCCAGCCGTTATTTCGATGCCTAGCACTATGGGTGCGGCTACGATGGTGGTCAACAACCCCACACCTACTGCCCCTAACCCCATACTGGTAGCCATAAGGGTGGTATCAACCCCATCCACAGCATTGAAAGCTCTATGGTACTTCTTGTACAATGCTGCCCGTGTGTCGCGGTCTTGTTGTAGTTGACGTTTTACGTCACATAATTGCCTCAAGCGAAACCCGTCGACGGTTTCTAAGGTCTTCGCTACTTCCTCTACGACTGGGTACAGTCCCATCCTATAATATATATTACTAAAGATATTTTAATTGGGTATCTAGTTTTCCAACTAGCGTTCTGGTACTAGTTCGGGGATATAGTCCAACCCCGTGATGTATTTTAATTGGGTTTTAT